TCACCCACAGCGTCCACCACTCGTGCTCCTCCCCTCCTCCTCCTCCTCCTCCGCCTCCTCTCTCCTCCTCTTCCTCCTTCTCCTCCCTCCTCCTCCTCCTCCTCCGCCTCCTCCTCCTCCTCCTCCTCCTCCTCCTCCTCCTCCTCCTGCTCCTCCTCCTGCTCCTCCTGGGACGTAGCATGAGGCGCAACAAGTTCTTCATCCAGCTGCAGCCTCCTCCTCCTCTTCCTATCATCTTCCAAGGATCGCTATCGTCATCCGCATCCCCATTATCACCGCCATCGCCGCCACAGTCCTGATCGATTCGTCGCGCAAGGAACCGACGGGGCTCACGCGAGAATCTGAAGCGCAACGTTGCAACATGTATAGTTCGGCATGCGCTTGAACCTCACACCGCGTCGCGCAAGGAACCGAACTGCTCGCGCGGGAACTGGGCCTCAACGTGACTTTTATATTTGGTTACGCACGCGAATCTCCAAGAGCCCACCGCAGGAACGGCCCAAACGAACCAAGCGGCACGTTGCCTTCGCAGCGTCGCGAGACACCTAGCCCCTGTTCGGGGCACCGTTCCTTCGATCATCCGCCCCGTGCGGCGAACCGAGTCCGCGCGAACCATGGCCCAAGGAACGCCTACGGGGTTCCGTGGCAGAACGGCGAGGGAACGCAAGCAGACCCAGGGAACCATCGCGTCCGTTCCGAAACCGACCTGGACCTCAGATTTCAAACCGATGACTGCACAGCGTCAGTCCAGCCATGACTCGGAGGCTTCAATCATCACAGGTGCACGCGCTCACACTGTGGTCAGCGCACCCATCTACACGAACCGAACATCGGATCGAACCTTGGCGACACTTTCCCTGGGCCAGCGGGCATGCTTCAGAAAGATCGCAAGAATCGCACAGCGCGTGGCTCCGTGGTAGAACATCCTTGAAGGGGCCCTGGGACACACAAATAAATAGACACACATAACAAGATTCTCCATAGGTTCCCTTATTTCTCATTCCCCACCAATTCCCATAGTTTCCCATATTTTCTGGGGAATCGACGATTAAGTCTCTTGAATCCTACATGCCAAGTGCGATTGTT